TCGTTTAAGGTGATGAATGACTGGTAGAAGAAGAATTTTCCCACAATGATATGAGTTGAGCTGACGTTTCTATTGAATTTTAAATACCCTTGCTATTCCCAAAAGTTGTTCTCATCCAGGGTAGACTGCAGTTTTGACCTCGCATTGGTCTTATCAACACGGTCAAACTACCCTTATACAACGAAAGAAGATTTCGACCACACAAAAGGCAACACTATCTTAGTCTTCATACCTTCGATTAAGTCTAATAAAACTTACTTGTGACCGTGGGTTCAGACACACGAGTTGGAGTGACAGAAGAATGTAAGGATTGTAGGGCTCCGTCTGAGAAATTCTGGGTAGAAGAAGGCTGACCTGGAAAAGATTGCGAATACATATCAAAATGAATGCCGGAGGCATGTCGGACGGGAGGGGAACCTGAACGTAAAGGACTAGTAGGTGGGGAGAGGGAAAGGAATGGCGAAGAAGGCTGAGAATAGGGCAAAGTGGTGATTTTGTTGCCGATGGGGTCCACCATACAAGTATGCTGGCTGGCAGCTAAAAATAGAGGGAAGAATGTATAAGAATAAATGAATGAATGATAAAGTTATAAAAGTGTAAGATAATACGATAAATATAAATGAAATTTTAATCGAACTTTAAATCCTGTAACTTAGTGCACAAGTTTCTAAAAAAGAGCTTATAAACTGAGATAAGTAATGCGAAATGAATTATTCAACAGCCCAAAGAGTTTAAGTGAAGAAATAATTTAAAGAAACAGTTGATTGCTTAACTTCTTACAATATCAGTTGTTGCCTAATATAATAGTTAAGCCACGAACAAGTTTGAATTACGAGATACATGGGCTAGCAAATTCCGAAAGCAAAATATTCCGTTACTTTTGAAATTATAACTAAAATGTCCGTAAGCGAAAATTATATAAATAATATTAAAAAGTTTCGAAGACGTCCGATTCAAGACATCATAGAACGTTTAAGGTAATGTACAGACCGATATTTTAATTACTTTCAATGAAATTATTGATACTTACGGTGGATACTGTTTAATTGGGTGACATTGGGACTAAAACACTGGCTCAATCAAGCGGCTAGCACAAATGTAGTAAGTTCCACGGGAAGGGTCAAAGGTATATAACAAAAGACAAACAAATGAGAAACGAATCAGCTACTTAAATAATTAATGTATCTATCGGATATGCATGTAATTTCTAAAGGTGAGTGAGTTCGGAGGAATTCATCATGTGTAGTCTGTAGTGTTCTCTTGATCGACTGCAAATAAACAAAATCAATTGAATATAAGAAGAATAAGATGTTGTGGCCTCTGTTATGGTCGCATGAGCCTTCTAGGAGACATCCTAATCGAGGTTATCGATATCACCGACAAGTTCCCTGAGGAGAAAAACAGAAAATGGAGATGGAACTAATTCCAAAGAACTTGACCCATTAGGAGCCTACACACAGGAATAGATTTGTCGGGATACGCAAAACCCTGGAAACAAATGGACAATTGGTCCTTCAGGCGGACAAAGGAGGAGCTACAGTGATAATGGACAAAAAACAATATATCGAGAAGATGAAAGATATTCTACAAGAGAGGACCACATATCGTAT